TTTAACAAAGATTTTTTTTTCTTGTGCTTTTTCAGTGAATTCATGGCACTGCACTATTTAATTTCAAACTTTGTATAAATAGTAATATGCCAAAACAACATATACAATTCTCCAAACACGCCAGAGTATGATATAACAGAATAAGTTACGTTACACATTAAAAGCAGAAGAAATACAGTACATCCCTTTTAAGTGAATGGTGACAGATTCCCAAGAATCCAACTTTACAATTGCTATCACCCCAAAACCATCTTTGACAGTACAGGGTCAAAATGTGAAAAAGGAAACGAAATTTCGACCGATTGTAACATTAGAAAATGAGTAAGACCTTAACAAATCAGCTAATTCCACAACCAAAAAAGGAAAAGAAAAAATAAAAATAAAGTAAGAAAAAAGGGTCACTGATATACAACCACAGGAGGAGTCTTGAAAGTGCGTGGAATAAACGGTATCGCCTCAGGCCTCTCAACCAAGTCATGATAAAACTCGTACTCAGCTTCATAATCATGCAAATGAAGCTCACCCTTCTGATTTGTATGATAGTGATGCTTAGCCAAATCTGACTTCCCAAACCCGAAAACACTAACTCTATCACAAATCCCCAAAGCCAACATCACCGCTTGCACACCAGAAGAGTAGTGAAAAAAGGGACCATCATGTTCCTTCCCCCAAGTCTCCAACCCCTTCCCTTTCTTCTCCACAAACAGTTTCAGCGAATAGTACTTCACGATCCTCGCGCACAGCGTGTCGAACCTCGCATCCGTGACGATCAACGGCGACTTGTGTGACGAGTTACAAACCGTATAGTCCAAGAAATGCAAGGCCTGGCAAATGTACATAACAACAGGCACATTCTCTCCATAAGGGTGACAAAAACAACCTTCCCTCCTAGCACAAAGATGCAAAATATTACTATTCACAAAGGAAATACTCGTTTTTGACCCGACTTTCCGCTCATAACTCTCGATTCTCGCATTGTTAAGCCTTATAACAACTTCATGCCCATCAATTACCTCTCCATAATCATTGTTCAACAAAATCCCACTATTCCCCACAACAGCACAAGAAGAATATCTCTTATCAGAACCGTTTGTTCCATTATACTTATCGATGGGATTCTTAACGAGTCTTATCAATTCAGACATGATTTCGGGTTGGTACCTCTTGTTTCTCGACCAATCATGAAGAGCCCTTCTGAAAGCCAGCCATTGCCGGTAGAAATTCGGCGAGCGAATTAACAAAGAAGCTCCACTGGAAGAAGTTCTTGCCCTGATATCTCTGTGGTTGAATCTTCTCCAAGTAGTAAAAGCCCTGTATCTACCTAAACTATCAAAGTCTCCGTCCAACAACTGCGATATCTCTTGCTTCGATTTCTCTTCGCCCAAATCAATGGCTGCCAAATTGAGCAACGTTTCATTGAACACAACTGGGCTAAGCTGCGGACTTGGGATTGGAATAATGGTGTTTTCGAGCTCTAACGAGCTCAGGCTTGTGCGAAAGAGAGTTCGAGAGAGGAGAGTAGAGAGGAAGATTATGAGAAGAAGAATGCTGAAGAGAGGACGGATTGTGCGCTTCATTGGGTTGAACTTGATTTGAGCTAAATGCGGCGGCGGTGGCGGCGGCCATAGATAGAACCTGTTTGGAGCAGACCCATCTTCGTTTTCCGGAGATTTTGGCATCGGGAACAGAGAAAATAATCGATTTTGGGAAGTGGGTATTGGAGGATGAGAGTTCAAAAGAGGAATTTGGGTGGGATAAGATTGGTTTTGGTTGGATCAGCAAAGAAAAAAAGATTGGTTTTGGTTGGGAAGTGGGAAATTCGTTGAGGAAGGAGAAGGGATCTTTTTTGGAAGCCTACGATCTAGTAGAAAAGCATTGGGTCGATGAATGCTCTACTCTTTATCTCTCTCTCCTCTGTGTTTAGAGAGAGAGAGAGAGATGGAGAGAGAAATATATTGTTGAAGTGAGTAATTGGAGAGTTTGGTTTGGTTTAAAAGTGTTGGCCACTTGAAATGCGTGTGCGTGGGGTTTATTTGGTGCATTCGTTGAGTCAGGGTGTGAGTGAGTGATGAGTAGAGAGTGGGATCTGGTCTTTGGCGTGAGACACCACAATAATGGAGTATAAACTTTTTTTTTTGTTTAAATAAATAAGAAAAATTATTGATGTCATATCGTCGGTTAAGAGTTTAAGCATACGTTTAGTTTATGAATTAGAATAATGAAATTAGAATTATTTTTAATTTACGTGTATTTTTTATGAGAGAAAATATTATAACAAACTATGAATCATGATTCGAATCGGAGTACGAATCTCCCAACTAAACAACCCCTTAGAGTTTGCTTATTAATGAAAAAAAAAATCCTAACTCAATTTTATTTAACGGATAAGTTTAATTTATTTTCGTTAGATCACAAATCGAACGCTATATAGTTCGTTCATCAATCGAAAAAGGCTTTAAAATGAGGTTATAGAGCAACAACATTTTGAGAGAAGAGAAAAGAATTAACTCAGCCTATTAGTGATTTTTTTTAGGGGAGTCATAAAATATATACACGCTCATAAAGTATTATTTTGATTCAAAATCATACTTTTATGTATGTAGTGTATATATTTTTACCAAATAGTTTAATGGAGAGACACCACTACATGATGATCCAATGATTGAGACACCAATTTCAAATCTTATAAATATTCTGTGACTTTTAGACTATTAAGATAAGATTTATGAGGTTTTCTTGTTCTTCTGTTTGTGCGCCTTTATATATATATATAATGTATGCGTATGATACATACAATACAAAAAGGCATGAACCACCTTGAGGAATTTGGTTTTTTTTTTCTATTATAAATTATTTTGAGGAGTGATATCATAGAGAAAATAATACCATATCAATAGTTTTAGCTCAGTGGAGAAGTATCATTTTGGCAGGAGCCACCGTCTTTTAGTCTTATAAGATTTTTCAACTAGTGAGATATATGAAGTTATTTTGTCAGTTTTTTACTAGTATATTACATAAGATAAAGGTTAATTATCTAATTATAGCTTATAATTTTAAGTAATTCTCAATTTATTCCTTTTTTTAGAAACTACAAAAAGTATTCCTTGAATTTCAAAAGCTTTTTTTTTTCAATTTTACCCCTCACAGATTTTGTGAAAAGAAAAAAAAAAAGACGAGAAGACACCTTAATTAGATCGAATTTGTTTTTGAGAAAAAAAAGTATATTATTTAAAGAAAATAAAACTCAAGATCTTTGGTTTGAAAGTCTATGTTTTGTTTTAGGGTTTGTCTATGTTTTCTAAAAATCTATAATATATTTTTCATAAACTATTTAAAGGTAGTTATATCTATCACAAAGTAAGCAAGGGATGAAATTGTAATAATTTTTAAAAATTCAAAGAATATTTTTATAATTTCTAAAAATAGAACGACAAATTGAGAATTAATTAAAACTAGAAGGTATAATTATGTAATTAACCTAATAAAAAATGAAAAAGTACATGATTTGACATAATTTTAAACAAATTTATTATGCGTATAGTATAGTACCTTGTGTTTTTTATAATTCAACCTACACTTTAATAAATGTTTTTTTGATACCCTACTTTTCATTGTTGAGCGGATTGCAATGCAGACCTGGTCATAAGACCATTTATCATTGTACTATACAACCAATTTAATAAATAAGTGGTGGGGCAATAGACAATACCACCCCTAGACCTAAATTCAATCTCTTGTTCAAGTCAACTGTGGAATCTTTCCTTCAATTTTTTCTTATTTTTTTAGTTCACATTGTGATGAGAAAAGTAGAGTAAGGCAGTTCGTTGATTTTAGTTTTTAATTTAAATTAAGATGTAATTTTATGTGAAAAATAGTAGAAAATATGCCAATATGAAAAGTTTAAGAAAGTATATAGGCCAATTTTTAGTTATAGAAATTAATAGGTCATAACTTGTCAAGTTATGGTTCATAACCAGATAAGTTATGGACAAACTTGTCAAGTTATGGTTCATAACCAGACAAGTTATTGATAATTATGGACAATAACTTGTCAAGTTATGGTTCAGAACCAGACAAGTTACGGACGAAAATAGTAATTTGGCCTATTTATTAACTTATGTAAACTATTAGTCTATTAATTTTAATTCATCTCAAATCTTGGCCTATTTTCCTTTTTCTCCCATTTTATGTGAGAACTTTTTCTGTAGCAAAAAAATTAGATGTGACTATTTCTAAGAATTTTTTACTGTAACAAAACTCAAATCGCTGAAATGAACGGGACTAATGTGTCCAACCAAACATATATTATAAGGCATATTAACATCAAGGACAATGATATCTTTTTGATATAAACAATCAACCGTCTGATCAATATGATTGTAAAATCTGTGCGGTTCTTGTTAATTAATGTCCCTAAACTATAATAAATATTTATGTATGTGACATAATTAGCTCTGAAGGACAATTCCAAGTTTATGAAAGATGTATGGCTGTCATCTAGTTTTGCTAGAGGATCAATGACTTGTTTGATCATGGCCAATCCAAGCCAAGATGCAGTTGTTTGAACGGGATTGTATTCTTTTTTTTTTTCTTTTTTCCTTTCTTCTTGATTCTATTGTTGGATGCTACATTGTTAGTAAATTTTTGCGGTACCAAAAACAAATCTCAACTGATAGGTCACAATTATAAACAGTTAAGTTCTATCAAAATCATAACAAAACTTAAACGATGGGACTAATAAAACTTTAACAAAGATTTGACGTTCCAAGAAACTCTTTAGTTGTAGAACATTAGCCCTAGGTTTTTTTTTTCTTTTTTTTGGTATTAAAACGTATAATTATTTTGTCGATAACAAACAATTGATTTTGGATTATTAATGATTTTTCTTGAGTGTTTTAAGCCTATATTATATCAAGAATTTTAAAGACTCGAGTCATAAAGAAAATCTAAAGAATACTTTTTGGATCAAAGATTTTTAAGAACGAATTCAGCTAGGATGCAAAATTTAGAGCTTGCAGGAAAAAAAAAAAAAAAAAAAAAAAAAAAAAAAAAAAAAAAAAACCAAGTTTTCATAGCTTGAATTTTATTCAGTAGTCTTGTATTAATGTTCTAACTACTACACAAAATTTATCTCAAATACTTTAGGCTTCTGTTTGCACAAAAAATTTAGAGATCGCATGTTTTGAAATGCTCATGACATTCGGTAAAAGACGTTTTTCATCTTAGAAATCTATGGACTTTTTTGTGGATGATTCAAGAGGTCATAAAGAATTGTTTGACACAAAAGCCTCAATGAAAACATAATTTTTAAGAGAAATGAGACAAATATCCCTTAGAATTTATGTGTCTAGAATTTTATCTCGTACTCTTAATAAACATCATTTTTAGTCAAATAATTATATCAGTCAAAAGGATATTAATTAAGTATAAGAGGTTAAAATTTCATACTCATGCACATCTAAATGTAAGTTCAACAATTTTCTCCAATTTTTCCTTTTTTAATGTGCCAAAGCGGACCTAGGATCTTGCTGTCAACATGGCCTGGTGGATGACCAAACGGGCTACTTCCGGTGAACCGGTCAATCTGATAGCTACAAAAAAGAATATGTTACCTGTTGTGTGGGAAAATGTGAAGGACACGTGGAAGAACGATAATATGACACGTAGCCTTAATTACTCCCCGCAAAGCAACGACCCTCGACGCCTGGGGCTCCCTCCGATTCCGTTATAAAGAACCCAAGTGAAAAGTCCAACTTAGGGCGTCGATTCCTCCTGGCGTCGACAGATCGTACCGTCGACCTTAGGACATAGAAATCTCTCGACGGTGGAACCAACAGCCAAGAAGGACAGTTGGGTTAAGCAACACTGGCGACGAGGGGAATGCTCTTTGGGGAAAGGTCTGACGTGGCAAATTACGTACAAAAGTGGGGGATGACTGCAAGGCAGGCATTTATTACGAACCCTTAAACCGCCCCACAGGGGACAGAAAAGGGTTACAGGAATGCACAGAGCCGTAATAGAAGACTAATTGGCTGAGTGAACAGTACTCCAAGTGATTAGTGGGCTACGACTGGGCCTAAAAAGGGAGAACACTTGAGTGCTTCTACCTACGAAGAAAATCAACCCAGCGAAAGAAGCCCCCAATATAAAAAAGGCAAGACCCCATGCAGGAAAGGGGTAGAGATCCAAGAGAAAAAAGAGCAATTGATGTAAATTGTAATCCTCTCAAAAGAAATATACAACCACAGTGGATGTAGCTCTGATTTTATAGAGTAAACCACTATAAAATCTCTTGTGTTCCTTATTTGTGCAAATCTTTCATTAACGCACAATACACCCCTCCAACAAATTCTCACACACACTCAACACTAAGGTCGGTAATCCAACGGGAAACCCAGAGGTAATCTGGCCTGTTTTTATTGACGAAATTTCACCGTCAACATTACCCAATGACTATTCTTGAGTTTTGGCTAGTCGAGGGATATTTTCCTGACTTGGATTTTTTGGAACCTATCGTAAAAGCTTCTAACTTTTAGGTCTGAATTTTTGTCTATTACTCTTGATGAATACTCTCTTTAGTCAAATAATTATAAGTTAAAAGGTTATTAATAAAAAATAATGAATAAAAATTTAAAACTGCACACTCTATAATTTTCTCAAAGAACTATTAACCAAAGTACTCCACTAATCATTTATATATGTTGCGCTGAGATTTATAAGCCTTTTGTCAATAAAAATAGTATTGGCTTTTATCGTGTTAACCAAAAACGAGTTGGAGGTAGACCTCTTAGCCTGCTGGTATAATAAAGCTCGAGCTGGCCAATTTTAGGATGTGTTTAGTAGATGGATCCAGAATCATAATTTAGACCCTAGTTTAGAATCAGTGTTTGTTTACAATGATTCTAAATCATGATTCAGAATTAATATTTGGTTTGGATGATTATGA